ACAGTACATGAACCCATTGACCTCCTAAGAGAGAATCCCTTCTACCCGTTGCAGGCGGAAACAAAATCCAAGACAAGGAGGGAGGAGTAGTGCATGGTCATCGAGGTTGTTGGAGATGACCTAAGTTATTAGAATCCATGGTCCCAAGATTGTCATGAACTGATGTCGACCTGGTCTACTAGTAGAGCCCAAAGCTCAATCGAGGCACGCCCAACCCCTTATGACTGACCTTCCGAACCAAGTGACCTGATGAAGCAAAACCCCAGCTGTGTCTGAAACCTCCTTCCCTGAGGAGAGGGCTGAGGTCATGGTCATCAATCAAACCAATGGCGAGCCTCAAGATCGCATAGCCCATCTTGAAGGGATTGTTCATCAGATGATGGAAATGATTAACTAAGTGGAAAAAGCCAGACCTCCTACGAACTCGTCCCACCATGGGGCCAGTTCACCACAGCTGCCCCACTCCACAAACGAGGTACTTAGGCAACCACCTCCTCCAACGACATACAATCATTCTCCCCTAATGGCATCCCAGGCTCTCCCTCACCCAATTACACAGGCAGATATTGATGCCATGGTTAACCACAACTTACGAATAAGACAGATCCCTAGGGTATGAGAGACAACCCTCTATTGCAAACCCTACCCCGCATTCATCGATTTGTTGTCGTTTCCAGCTAATTACCAAAAGGGGAGACTCCCAGTCTTCAATGACACGAGTTCGCCTCATTAGCATATTGCACATTTTGTGTCCGCATGCCAAGAGATGGCCTCATGCGGCAGACTCATCCTCCGTTAGTTTGTGGAAACGCTCAACGGACTGACATTCAGGTAGTATGCTCATCTCCCGCCAAACTCTGTTCAAACCTGGGAGGAGATGGGGCAGTTATTTTATAAGCGCTTCTACGAAGTCGAGAGGGAAGTATATGCCATAAAACTGCTTACTATGACCCAGGACTTAGAAGAGCTTATTGACCACTTCATCACCAGATGGAAGGACTTGGCCATGTACGAAAGCAATCTCATGCCAGAAATCGACGTTATGCAGTCTTGTGTTTGCAACATGCAACCCAAGATCTCATTGCATGTCGAAGCTTCGAACCCCACCACTATTTCATACTTGATTTCTAAGGCAGCCCCTATAGAAAGTTTGTTCGAGCACCACGACGGGGTCTCGTTGCAACTCTTGGGTGGAGGAGTTAACCGTAACACTGACAACAACTGCTCCAACCCTCGGGATAGTCAGCAAAAGTGTGCGATCAGCACAGCTGTCACTGTCTCTACTGCCAAACAGCCAGCCGACCAGACCCCTCTTCAAACCTTGGACATATCTAGGGGTATATACCCCTCGAAAACCCAAGAAAACCCTCGTAAGGACAACAAAAACCCCCCAATCTTACAATAAGGTGCCACCTCCTCAAGGCCTCTATCAAAAAGACTATTGGGAGGAAAAGAGGAAGAAAGTCTATAGCTTCGACAAAGAGTAGGTTCCACACTCCTTCGGATGTTGTTGGAGTAAGGAATGATTGTTCTACTCGAGGCTAGACGGAGTCGGGCTTGTGGCCAACAAAAGGTATTGTGCATACCATCGGATGTTGGGGCATCCGGTCTAGGATTGCTTCACTCTCAAATACCATATTGAAGCATTGATTCAGAAGGGCCAGATACAGTTGGATAGCCTCAAGAAAGCATTTGGGACTGCCGAGGCCTCCCACATGGTGACAGTCCAAGAGGAAGAACAAGTTTGAAGTTTGTATTTTGACGAATTTCCATCTGACTGTCTCCCCATGATATCACCATGATGGTTGAAGAAGGAATGATTTCCCATCGTCCATCGAGGCAATTGAGGCACATAGTTCGAGGAACCGAGGATATTTGGTGCCCATACCATCTGATAGTGGGCCATGACATATCTCAGTGTTTTGGCTTTCGAGGTTTGGTGCAAGAGAAGATGGCAAGGTGGCGAATTGTTGTGGACGTCCCAGTCCTGAATCACGAAACGCACGCTCAAGAGCCTAATCCGGTGGTACGAGAGGTCACTTAAGAACAAACCTCGGGTGAAGGTGCAACCCTTGAGTCCCTTGACTCTGATGAGCCTTCCACTTCACAGCCTTGGCAAACCTATACGGGACGAAGTAGAATGAAGTCCATGAAGAGAGAGGCGATTTGTCAAGCAAACATGTCATGGAGACCTTGCAAGCCTCACCAGCCTGCTTTTGTCAGTAAGAAGCGAAAAGGTAGGCGAGCCCCAAGAGTTGCTCGCCGAAGGAGGAAAGTCCCCCGAACCCTTATCGAAGCGGCGTTCCTTCCACTAGTCCCTCCTCTACCAACCCTACAAGACTTCCTCCCCGAACTGATCACGTTGCCAAACCAAAATCCACAAACCAATCAGGAAATCATCCCAAGGCTAACGCTCGCCCAAGTTCCCCCTCGCTCATCCGATAAGGGTGAGGACTTAAAAAGCACCCCTCAATGGTCCATACAGGGTGAAGACCTTAAAGATCCCCTACACACGTCCAATAAGGGCTATGACGTAAAAAGATCCCCCCGATCACGTTCAATGAGAGTGAAGACGTTAAAAGCCTCTTTGAGTTCAATACAGGTGATGACCCCAAAAGCTACCTGACTCGGTCCAATTTGAGTGATGACCCTAAAAGCTCTCTCCCATCTTCTATCCCCGATTCTTTAAACCCTTCTTCTTTCAACCTGTCTCTCTCGGAACTCACTCTCGAGTGCCCAGACTTTGAGGCCTCGATGAAGAGCTTAAGAGTTGCAATACCAGTACATGACATCGAAAGCAACAGAAGAAGATGGTGGCCGGGTTTCCTAATAAAAAGTTGAAAAGGAAACAACTAATGAAAAAATATGCAAATAGACCATCTACTTTTTGCATAAGGAGGTCACAATCATTCTTGTGCTTCGGATTTCAAATTGGTTAGTTGTAGCATGTTATTGATTGGACTCAAAGCTCCAAAAAAAAAATTCTTGACATCCAATTTGATATCTAATAGCTATGAGTAATTGTGACATCCTTGTATTAAAGATCAACGGTCTCACAAAATGCAATTCCGTAACTAATTTCATAGTCTTTGGGTGTAATATGTCAATTATTTCCAAATCAAAATAGAAAGAGGCATGCATCCTAACATGAAGATCATTAATACATAAAAAAACTAAAAATCATAAATTTGTGAGGAAAATATTTAGACTTTGGTTATAAGTTTCTTGGAGTGACCACCTATTTACATCCATTTTTAATATGAATGTTTTATGCCTCAGCTTACACAGATTTTGAAATCTCCCCCCTAAAGCATTTAAAACATTCCTTTATTAAATGGCTGGCTTTATGCCTTTTGCTTGAGCTCGAGAGTCGGCTATAAGGTGTCAAATTTTGTTCGAAGCAACATGCTACTTTCAGAGCATAGTTTACTTAGAATATTTATTTGGGATAATTTTTTCAATCTAAAATTTTGAGAACCATATGAGAACTATTAGATAATTGTTTTTAACAGAAAAATTTGAAATTTAAAATTTGAGGTTTTTTAACACAAGATCTCACCACCTAAAAATTGAATAGACGCTATTCAATCTTGGGCACATTTTTTGAAGTACATAAAGAGTGTAATTAAGAAATATTTTTATTAAATTTGATTTATTACTTAAAAATGGGCAATGATTCTTTGCATCAGTTGTATGATGCAACTATCTTCAAAAACAATGGTAGGACTATTTGTTTGATAAAAAATTTAAAATATACACTCTTTTCATTCTAATGAGCAATCACAAAAAAGAAAAATTTGAAAACCTAACCTAAAAAATATTTTTTAGCTCAATTAATATAGGTCGTTCATTTGAATAAAATGCTTAGATCTAGCCCTTAGAGGTATTATTCCTTTTCCAACTTTTTTAGATGGTTTTATTATCATTAGATGAACAATGTTAAAAAAGAAAAAAATGATTTTGAATTCCTAAGGGATAAGATCTTGAAATTCACCAAAAAAAAACGATATCTAGGGGTTTCAAATTGAATTTTTTTTATTTTTAGGATTGATTATTGAGATGAAGAGAGTGTGTATGTAAAATTTTGGCCCATAAAAATATCATAAACATGATCTTCTAAAAATGCGGTTGTATCATACTATGATACAACCGTTGCATGAAATCATTACCCTTTTTACATCTCTAAAATTTGAAGTCTTAAAATTAATTTAAGTGATATTTTAACCAAATCGAGATTACATTCGTAAGGAAGTATCATATCTTTTGGCTATTGCACTTCATCCTTTTTGGGAGATCTAGAGCGAGATAGACTACGTCAATTTATTTGCAAAATTTATCAGCGAGATCTAGAGGGACATAGGCCACGTCTATGTATTTGCAAAATTTATCAGGGGATTGTATAATATTATACGGTCAAGCTTTATATGCTTTATATGCTTCCTCTATGGTATGGAAGTTATATCCTCTCTCTTGTCCAATCGTTTATTTTTATTTTGAATGGAAGGTTAAGATTGTTTTAATTTTAATATCATGTTTTTATATTATTTTATTTTAATTATTTTTTATAAATTATTTTGACACCAAATTTTGGATGTCCGTTCTTTTATTAAACTCGTATTAATAAAAAATATAAAAAAATATTTTCAATAAAATAAAATGACTAAAATATATTTGAAAGTTTTAAAAAGAATTTTGGTTATTATATTTTATAAAAAAATTATTTTTAATATTTTTTATAACTACGCCCGAACGAGAATGAGAAGATGGCACTTAACGAATTTCATATTCATACAATCTGTATTAAAAAAACTAAAAATAAAATACTTTCATACGTCGAATTTAATATCAAACGGTGAGTGGCTCTTGATCGAACGACTCGATGGTAGGAAGAATATAGAACTTTATGCTACGTCGAATCTAATATCAAACGGTAAGTGGCTCTTGATCGAACGACTCGATGGTAGGAGGAATATAGAACTTTATGCTGTAGGGAAGCATAGAAACCTTTCCCATTTTATACAGGGAGAGATCTGTGACATTTTAGAGAGAGAGAGAGGAGAAATGTGAAGGCGGGTTGGTGTGAGTGGGACGAAATCGTCCATGGCCAGTAACGTGCCACGGTTTCGGCGGTTCAAGGGAAGGGAAATTGGCCATGAATGTTTTTCTCTCTCTCTCTATACATATTCCATACTCTCGTGATTCATTTGTTATGACAGAGCACCTATACGATCCAATAACTCTCTCTCTCTCTCAAATTATTTGGAAAAACAAAACCATTATTTTTCTTCCTTTTACTTTGAGATTGGCTCCCACATACACTCAAGGCAAAATATACCCGCCCCAAAAATCGATCTTCTCTGCTCATTCTGCAAACCTCCTAATAGCGAATACACCCCCAATAGTTCTTGTGTTCTTTTTCTGGTTTAGCCTGCCTAAAAGACTGCATATAATGGAGACAGTGAGAATAAGCAATCTTAGCTTCACATACCCAGGTATAGATGGGCAGCCACCTCCAGGTACCAAGCCTTTAATTCATGGATTCTCCCTCTCTGTCAACTCTGGTGATCGTTGTCTTTTGGTGGGTTCAAATGGAGCAGGTATACCCATCTCATCCAATTTTTATGATTTCTATGAATGTAAGTTATTTGATTCTCAACATGGACATGATTTTTGCGTTTCCTATTTGCTAAATTTTAGGACATTGGATATTAGACTCACCCAAAAAAGGGAAATTGGATAATACTATTTGAAATATTGTATTTATATTGGAGATTTTTGTTATTACAAATTGATGCCAGTGTATATATATAGGATAATAGGAATCGAATCCATGGATCCATTTAGTGGTTTTGTTTCTTGAAAGTATGTCTCATGTCTCTATATTCTTAAAGAGTGGGATTCCGAAAGTATGTTTTTCATCTGTTTTTTCTTTTTTCAAAGGAAATCTACATTGCTTTTCCATTCCTTAAATTTTTTTGTCTAAGATTAATTGAATCTCCTTTGTGTTTTAGATTATCTGTATTTTTTCTTTCCTGAAATTTTTAGGAGAAAGTCTTTATCAAATTTTTAACACGTTCCATTTATACTCATTACCCATCAATTTTAAATGTATGAATTCGGCTGAGTCTACCTTCTGTTTGAATGTGATTCTTGGCCTACTCAATTCACGTAACACCAGTGTTCCAAAAGTCGGGAGAGTCCACTTAGACTCGCCTGAGTTATTGCCGAGTCCTAATAGGAACCGGCCAAACTTGTCCAGTTCCTATATTTTAGTACCATACTTTTGGTATCATTCCCTTTGCTGTTTTAATTCCATTGTGACCCAAGATATTCTTTTCAATACCATTTATTCTTTTATGTGCTATTGCTTTCTATTTTGGCTGTTTATGTTGACAGCTATCATTCTCTTGCATATTATGTTGTTTAAATAGCACGTACTGTTGAAAATTTGGTATAGGGTGAAACGAGAGTTGGCATGTGTAATAATACAAGAATGAAAGAAATAATTAAGAAGAAAGACTTCCTTGTTTACAACCACACTACGATACGCAATTTCTTAGGACTATAATTTGCTCCCTTATTGTAGAATAACTATGTGTAAAAGATAACCTGGGCAAATCAGTCGTCAGGGTATTTGTAAACAGAAAATCACTAATGATACTTATCTAATTTTGCATCGTATAGGCAAGTCGACTTCGCACTAGAGTTGCTTGAATATAGAGAGAAAAAGTGGCTTGCCTTGTGTTTTTAGAGAGATAAAAGTTAGTAGGAAAATATTGAGAGAAACAAAATTTGAATTAGTAAAAAGGTGGTTAAAAAAATGAGTAAAAGCATCTCTTTTAAAGAGTGAATGATGACTATTAATGTGACTGTTCACAAGACAAGTGACTGTTAGGTTTCCAACAGTCACCATCCAACGGTTATCAACCGTTGGATCTTTGAACATGCATGAGCACGTCCCTCAAGCCCGACCTGCACATGTGCTTGGGCGAAGGGCGCCTCATGTGTCAATATGCAGCGTAAATTGCAAAGTGCGCCATCAAGCGCCCTCGCCCTCGCATGTATGCGCACGAGTACATGTCACACGCTTCGCGTGCTCTGCACAAGTGCCCACACTCTCTCATTTGTTCCATGAATATAAGGCACGAAAGTATTCTTATATCTATACTCCTTTGTCCACACTTCACTCTTCAATGTGAGACTAAAACCTATTACTTTTTCTCTTTATTTATTTAAAACTTAGAAAAACAATACAAGTAGGTAGAAATATAGTATATTATTTTATCAAAATACTTATATTGAACCCATAGAAAATAATGAAGACAATAGAACCTAGAAGGAGTAAAAGAGCAAGATGAGATCCAAAACATAATTTTGGTCCATATTTTTATATTCATCTAGTTGAGACTATATCAAATTAAGATATTAAACGTAGTACCTATTGCTTTAAATGTGGAGGAAGATCCTTCCTTAATGAGTGAAGCTTAGGCATCTCATGATGCAACATTTTGGAGAGAGTCTATTAACAATGAAATGGATTCCATATTTGCTAATAAAACTTGGAAATTGGTGGACCTACCACTTTGTTCGAAACCTCTAGGATGTAAATGGATCTTTAAACAAAAACTTAATGAAAATGGGTCAATTAATAAGTATAAGGCTAGATAGGTAGGCAAAGGCTTTAAATAAAAAGAGGGCATATACCATTTTGACACATGCCCCAGTGGTAAGGATATGAACAATAGAAATACTTTTAGCAATAGCCTCAATTAACCATGTAGTAATTCATCAAATGGATGTAAAAACTGTATTCCTAAATGCTGATCTAGATGAAGAAATTTACATGGATCAACCCGAAGGGTTTTTCATACTTGGTCATGAAAATAAAGTCTATAAATTGACAAAATCTCTTTATGGATTAAAGTAGGCACCAAAGCAATAGCATAAGATGTTTGATACTGCATTGATAATAAATGGTTTTAAATGGAATGATGCCAATAAATGTGTGTATAGTAAAGTAATTAATTCTATGTGTGTCATCATATGTCTATATGTATATAATATGTTGATTTTCGACCCTAATTTGAAAATAGTGGAGGAAATTAAAGGTTTCCTTACATTTAACTTTGATATGTAGGACTTGAGAGAGGTTGACGTGATACTAGGTATCAAAATAGTGAGAAATGAAAAGGAGCTAATATTAACGCAATCTCACTACATTGAGAAAATGCCCTATTAGTGTGAGCATACTGATAGTAATCCAGTCTTTACATCAATAGATCCTCATATAAAAAGAGAAATGAAGAGAGATGTATATCTCTTAAAAAGTATGCTAGAGTGATTGATAGTTTGATGTATGCAATGAGCAGTACGAGGAAAGATATTGCATATGCAGTGGGTAAACTTAGTAGATATACAAGTTACCGTGGTAGAGAGCATTGGGATGCAATCTCTCTAATATTAAGATATTTAAAAGGAACTATCAATTATAGCATACATTATGTGGGTTATCCCGAGGTGTTGGAAGGATATGGTGATGCGAATTGGAATATAGAAGTCCAAGATTCACTATCAGCATCCAAATGGATTTTTACTTTAGCTGGGTCAGCGATATCATGGGGATCAACTAAGCAAACTTGTATTTCGCGCTCTACAACAGAGTCGAAATTTTTTGCTTTAGATTTGACTTTTGAAGAAGCGGAATGGCTTAAGAATGTTTTATATGATCTAGCAATATGGTCAAAACTGATACCGACAATCACAATATATTGTGACAATCATGCTACTATTGCAAGAGAATGTTATACACTGGTAAGTCTAGACGCATTGCGCGTCCATACAAAATTGATAAGAGACGGGGTGATAAGTCTAGAATTTGTGAAGTCAAATAAAAATGTGGCCGATCCTTTGATAAAAGCCCTTGCGAGGGATGACATTGGTTAAATGTCAAGGAGAATGGAGCTAGAGTCCGTAAATTAATCATCTACAATGGGAACCCAACCTAGTCTCTTGCATCCTCAAGATTCTAGGTTCAATGTGGTAATAACAAATTGTAAGTATGATTAGTTTGATTACTAGATCAATAATTATTTAAGCATCCATTTTAATGAAATCCATACGATGGATAAGTCTACTAATGACCTATATGTTGGTAGGTTGAATCATAGTTGTTGGAAACGCCTGGGAACCCAAATCGTTTCAGGAACCGGAATCGTGGAGTCGCGCTTGGCCAGAAGTTTCACATTGTAGGAATCGTTGTCCGTACAATAGGAATCGCTGGGAACGAGATTCTTAATTTTTAGGAATTGAGTATCGATCGAAATAGGTCCAAGTTTCATCCACATATGGAATCGAGATTTCAGCCTCCTTGGAATCAAGATTCCCATCCCCCTGGGTTCGACACTCCAAATGTCAAGTTTCATGAATATGCGGAATTGAGTTTCCGTCATCTATGGAATCGAGTGTCTGACAGATACGGAATCGAGTTTCCATCATTTATGGAATCGTGATTCTAACGTATTTGGAATCGAGTTTCCATCATCTATGGAATCGTGTTTCTCACATATTTGGAATCAAGTTTCTGAAGTATATGGATCAGAGATCGATGCTGGTTTGAGATCGAGAATTACAATAGCAGAATCGAGTTTCTGACATCACTTCATTCGAGTTTCTGACATATGTGGTACATAGATATGTTGTTGTGTAGAATCGCCAATCCATGTGTGTTGCTTTATATGTTATTACATGATTTCAATATTTTATAAGCATTTAAATTAGAGGCGAATAAATAAAATTAGCATTATTAATAACCACTTTACATTCAATATTTCAATACTAAGCAATGTTGTGAGGCTACACATGGTGTAAGATCACTTAGCAATCTTTTCAAATATAACATATGAGCAAGATTAAGAAACAAAGGCAGTTTACATCACCGCAAATATATGAAACGTTATTCTATGGGCATTTAAATAATTTCACATACCATATGAGCAAGATTAAAAAACCAAGGCAGTTTACATCACCGCAAATATAAGGAACATCATTATATAGGCATTTAAATCAGGAAAAAAAGAAGTAAAAATAACATTACTAAGCAATTCAAATAACTATGAGCAAGGTAAAGAAACTATAGCAGTTTACATTGACGCAAATATAAGAAACATAATAAATATAACTAAAAAAGCAACACGATCTCATTAAATTGCTTCTAAAATACATGGCTTATAAATAATAATACCCCTTTCAAGTACACATGCCGCCTAATGCTATCGTTTGGGACTTTAAAGCATGATATCCACCAGAAAATAAAACATTACTTTTGTGGTTATTATTTACAAGAAACTAATGTTTTATACGGTGTAGATGATTCAAAACCTTGATGAAATGAGTTCCATTACTTGTAGAATCGTGTATCATTTAATATGGAATCAAGATTTAAATCTCGCTAGAAGCCAGATTCAATCTATTTGGGAGCGTCTACCCACAATTAGGGGGGTTCAAGTTTCTCTAGATTTGTTGGATCGAGATTCTGAAATTAAGGAATCGAGATTCCAAAACTAAGGAAACGAGATTCCAACACTAAGGAATCGAGTTTCTTTGGTTCCGAAAAATATTTTTAAAAGAAGTGTTGAATCGAGATTCTGAAATTAAGGAATCGAGTTTCCTTGGTTCCAAAACTAGGTTTCCACATATGTGAGGAATCGAGATTCTGAAATTAAGGAATCGAGTTTCCTATGTTGCAAAAAAAAGGTTTCCACCTAGGTATGGAATCAAGATTCCGAAATAAAGGAATCGAGTTTCGTTGGTTAAAAAAAACGGTTTCCATGGAGTTTCCTTAACGGAAACGCGGAAACGGGTTTCGGAGCGAGACTCGCGGGGTTCGAGGAGAAATTCCGGTAACTATGGGTTGAATTAAGCTCTTAATGATGTCTATGGACTATTTATAAGTCAGAGTGTTTTAAATACAGGGGCACTCTTGATAGGCACACCAATATAACTGTGGAAGTGGGGCGCTTCCTATGAGATGAGACTCGCCTCTAGAGCACTTATGACATCAGGATATAAGCACAAGGCCCAAAATGTTTTGGCAATTAAAGGCTCCAGAGATGTATAATATTTGTGAGTTATACTATCCGTCTGTTGGATTAGTTACATGGTTCATTGCTATAAGCTACCATGGAATTTGATGGACTTTATAGTGTAAACTCTAAGTGAAAGTTCAAATCGAAAGATACCTTCATGGTATGCAAATATTTTATACGGTTGCCTATTATTTTTCATATTATTTTGAAATAGTGAAGGAAATATTGGTATTTTCGTGTAGTAAAATACTTTAGTATATTTGAAAATAATATACCCACTCGTGTTGTTTTCTTAAGTTTTAAATAAATAGAGAGAGAAAGTAGTGTGTTTAAGTTCCACATCGAAGAGCGGACTATGAAAAGAGTGGTATAAATATGCTTTATGTTCATGGAACAAAGGAGATAGTGTGGGCACTTGTGCAAAGCAAACGAAGAGTGCGATGCTCGTACACGCATGTGCGTGTGTGAGGGTGAAAGCGAGGGCAATGGCAAGGCTGTAAGGGTGCTTGATGCGCACTTTAAGGTTCAAACGTCACACATGTGAGACACTAGCCGTAGATACAGAGGGGTGTGATGATCCATGTTCACAGATCCAACGGTTGGTAATCATTGGATGGTGATTGTTGGTTCTTGGAAACCCATTAGTCACATGTCAAGTGAAAAGTAGTGGTTCATATGAACAACCACCTCTTAGAGCCACTATATTCACTCTTTAAAAAGGGCATTTTTACTACCAAATTGCTACCTTTTTACTAACTTGATTTTTTCTCTCTCTCAACAATTACTTACTTTTTTTCTCTCAACAATCAAAGTCGTGCCCACTTTTCTCTCTTTAGAATTCTGGCAACTCGGGTGCATAGTATACTTGTTTATATTGTGCAAAAATGGACAAGTATTTTGAGTGACTTTCTGTCTCTAGATATCCGAAGAATTGATTTGCGTGAGTTATCGTTTACACACCGTTATACTACATTAAGGGGGCAAATTACAGTCTTGAGAATGTGCATCTAGTGTGGTTGTAAACAAGAAGTCCACATTCTTTTAATTTGTTTCTTTATTATATATTACACCATTTCCAACAAATCCTACTCTTTTCCTCTATGCGAAGAAATCGTTGTAGTTGAACTAAGTCAACATCAACTTTTTTGTGCTTTTATCTTCTTTTGATATTCTTTCCAAAGAGGGGGGTAACTTATTTATAATAGTCCCTGCTTGAATTCTTCATGAAGTTCAATTCCACAAGCTTTGAGTTCACTTGCAACAAGTTGCAACTCATACACTTAGTTGAGTATTGGCATGTTGTCGGTGAACTTAAGCTCAATATAATTAGAAATTAAGAAACGTTGGTTACCCGATTCTTCTATTAAATACTTGATCTCCAACAAATGTCAAAATTCTCTCTTTGATGCCACCGAACAATACATGTCATAGATCGCATTGGTAAGTTCTTTGAGAATATGACCATTGTATATGTAATCGTCTTCCATCCATTTCTGCCGATATTTGGATGATTCGGGATCCTCCCATTCATGTGGTAATGGCAACTCCGGCGTATTTTTGGTAATCACATATGCCACCTTAAGTATGCTCAACAAAAATATAAGCTTTTGTTGCCACCTTTTGAAATTTGTCCCATCAAACTGATCGAGCTTTGCAAAATCTTTATTCATAACTTTATTGGACTTCACACTTGCTTCCATTTTTCTCACCCAAAATTATAATATTGAATTGTTGAAATTTTGGTGTTGGGTGGAACGGAGGCTGGAATGTGTAATAATAAAAGAATGAAAGAAACAATTTAGAAGAAAGAGTTTCCTGTTTACAGCCATGTGGTGTACTCTCTCAAAACTTGTAATTTTCCCCCTTACTGTAGAATAACAATGTGCAAAAGGTGACCTGGGCAAATTAGTCATCGAGATATTTGTAATTAGAAAATAACTAATGATACTCGACTAATTTTGCACAGTATAGACAAGTCTACTTAGCACCAGAGTTACCTGAATATAGAGAGAGAAAGTGGCTCGTTTTGTATTTTTAGAGAGATAAAAGTCAGTAGGAAAATATTGCGAGAGAAAGAGAATTCGAATTAGTAAAAAGGTGGTTCAAAAAAAGGGTAAAAAGTCCCTTTTAACGAGTGAATGTGACTGTTCACTAGACAAGTGACTAACTGTTAGGTTTCCAACAGTCACCATCCAACAGTTATTAACCGTTAGATCTCTGAACAGACATGAGCACACCCCTCTGTATCAATGGTTCGTGTCCTAGCCTTTGGATCTCACACGCACCACGTTGGCACCCCTTTGTGCACATGTGTGGGCATGAGTCGCATCACATTAAAATTGACCGAGCCTTGAGCTCGACCCGCCCATGAGGCGAGGGGTGCCTCATGCGCCAATGAGAAGTGCAAAGTGCGTCACTCTTCAATATGGGACTAAATCCGCTACTTTCTCTCTCTATTTATTTAAAACTTAGGAAAACACTAGGTATACTATTTTGAAATATAGTATTTTACTATACTAAAATGCTAACATGTGCATCAAATTTCATGTGAGAGCAGTAAGAAGATTTTCTGTCTTATCCCTCTTCATGATAGCTTCATTTCTTTGCACAAGACAGGTTGATTATAATTGTATCCATCATCTGCAGCAGCATGCTTGTGAAATTTAAGCGCAGTGCTGTCCACCTGGGGCTTTCTATGGTTATTCTTGCTCAAGCACAATGAAAACAATTCTCAATTTCTTATGGCATTTGGTTCAATAATATTTTCACTTCACCTGTTAAAATCTTCACTAATCGAATTATTTTTACTGTTGCTTCTAGGAAAGACCACTATTCTGAAGATATTGGGTGGGAAACATATGGTGGAGCCTGACATGGTCCGTGTGCTTGGGAGATCTGCTTTCCATGACACTAGTCTCACGTCCTCTGGGGACCTGTGTTACTTGGGTGGAGAGGTAACATCTTTCTCTATTATTGAATACGCTTTTCTACCTGTGAAATATATAATACTTATGATTATGGGATATCAAATGATATTCACTTGGTTATATCTTCTGTGGTTCCTTTTTTTCCTGTTGGGGGGTGGTTATATCTTCTGTGATTCTTTTTTTCCTGTTGTGGGGTGGTATGTGTAGAAATTGGGTTTCTATTTTATAAATTTATTTATTAATTTATTTATTATTTGTTTGTTTGTTACTATTTTTGTTATATATAGAAACCATAGGTTTGAAAGCCATGAGTTTCTGGATCAATTGTTTTCTCCACTTCATCCAAGGTTGCCATTTATAACAGCTGGCTGACCTCCTGAGTAAAATTTGGCAAACTTATTTTCTACTGAATTCGTGAATAAGTGTAACTCTTCATGTACTGTTTGAATAAAAGGTAAACCCTTTGTTCTTCCTATGCGAGGTTCAACACAGAATCCTCTTATCCCATTTGTACTGTCATTTCGTTTGTCTGGTGGATGAAAAGTTAGAGCAAATATTAAATGACTAGGCAGTCCCCAAAATTAAGGCGCCGCAGTGGTATTTTCTGCCAAGGTTTTTCCATCAAATGACCATCTGGGTTATGGCTAAGTTACTTATGTCAATGGCCAGGCTGGCTCACTGAAGATATCCATACGTTCTGGCCCAAATGTCTGGAAAGTGGGATAGGAGAATACTGTGTTATCCTCCAACAGGAAGACCACGAGTCTCCAAAAAACTTTTGATCGTTCACTGTAATGTTAAAGTACAAATACAAATGTAGAGCTAACTTCTTTCTTTTGTATGGTATTCTAATGAATGGTGTGCTTGCAGTGGAGAAGAGATGTTGCTTTTGCTGGTTTTGAGGTACCAATACAAATGGATGTCTCTGCAGAGAAAATGATATATGGTATGCAGGGGATCGATCCTCAAAGAAGAGAGACATTGTTGAAGGTATTGTTGAAGTGTTCTTACATAGCAAACAAGTACGTTTGGACTCCATGTCTATAGTTAGCTCATAAATTATCATGCTTGTGATTATGGACTGCAACTGTGCATGCATTCACGCACGTTGAATATATACAAATGCATGAAAAGTTATGTAAAGTTAAGCATTGGTACTATGTGAATTTGGGTGAGCATGCATTCATATAAACATGTTTGATTAAATGTACCATCTAAGAGTACATGCGTTCAAGCGCGCATACATGCTTACATGCATGAGGCCTGTGAGACTGGCTTTCATAGCCCTGAAGGCACTGAAAGTGAAGTCTGTTACGTTCAGCCATGATGCAGAAATGGAATATTAGAAACCTCTCTGGGCCATCAATGTGTTGGAAGCTATTGTCAAGGAACCTGCTCATATGGCAACTCTGTGTTTCAATATTCTTGATTGGTGACTTTGATTAGGCTGAGAACTATGTGTTTCAATCCCCTTACCTCTTAATATTATTAAAAGAGGTTTTTTACATCCACCATCCTTGGCTGGTTTTATCACTTCATGCTTTTAAACCTGGAAATGTAACTCCTTAATAAATCATTTTCCTTCAAACATGATCTACTGGTGATTTAGGTCAGGACCATCAAAATGACCTTGTTGCTCAAAGAAATCAGAAGACTTAAAAGTATAAATGTATTAAGATTGAATAGTAATACTATGCCAACTTTAAAGAGTATGATAATCCTCCTCCTAAACATAGGCTGGTTAATGAAGGAAATTATACTCTCTATGGTTAATCATTAGTGAATAGCAAGAACTCACACTATTTCTGTTTATCCTGCCTTGTTAATTGATTGATGATTTTTTGTTTTGACGAAAACAGGGTGGTTGATTTTTATTTTTATTTTTTTGAGGAAAGTTTACTATAATTGCTGCAATATTTAATAAAATATACAAACGAATGGGGCCCTCTGAAAGAGCACCCTTTACAGGCCCGAAGGGTTCAAAAAACTTCCACCATGGCAATCCATGAACATTTGTAGTGAGGTGTATCTCCAAGCACCAAGGAAAAGCTTTAGTGTTAGTTTTATTTATCTACGCTGGTTAAGAACATGTTCTTTTCAATTGAACAAAGGACATGGGACCTCTGACAGCATATATTCACTAAATTGTCATAGATTGACCTCTACTTGAATTTGATTGACCTCTACTTGAATTTGATTGAGAGAGAGAGAGAGAGAGATGTGTTTTGTGTATGTCTGTGTCTGTGCTTGTTGCTGGCTCCTTTGTTGTATGAGACTTTGATTAGTTAACCGGTCCTGTTTTTTATCTATTGGTTATGGATGACTGCAGGTTAGCTGGAAAATCAAAACCCGATTTTTACCTCGACAAGGATGACAATTTTTCCCTACAATGCTGGCCTGGCCCTGACAGGGCCGAAGAAGCCGTGGCCAAGGCCCATCCCTGGATGAATAAAATAAAAGTTAACCAACGGTAAACAATAAGAAAAAAAGGGCTAGGCAAGGCTGAACTTGGCCAGCGCTATTTCAGCCATGGCCCTGGTCCTGATCTCGGGCCGTGGTGGCCTGGCCCTCGGGCCACATTTTGTGGGCCAGGCCCTTCTTTTTAGGACCGAGCCGGATTCACCAGCCCATTTCTAGTCCTAATTCAGATTGCTACTACTGAGACAGAGAACCTCGAATCAGTTTAAACTTTCTTTTGCTATATTAACCACAATTATCTCTGACGAAATATTAAAATAATGAAAGTATGGTGTTGAGCATGATGAATACACTTCAATTCAAATCTAGTATTGCATTCAAACAGCCATTTCTGTGATCAATATAACGATCACACATATTTTCATTCCAATCCTTTTATTGGGTCTTGTGAATAAATTTTTGGCAATTGATCAAGGTCTTGGATATTGATCTAAACTGGCGTATGCACAAGGCATCTGATGGTCAGAGGCGACGAGTGCAAATCTGCATGGGTCTCCTCAAGCCATTTAAGGTTTTTTTATCTCTCCTCTCATCTATGCTAGATGAACTTTGACCACTTTTTCTTCTCCAACTTTTTGTAAATAAAATATTTTGTTCTTCTCTAGGAGTATGCATACCATGTTTACATATTTATAGAACACTGAGCGTAATGTTTTTGTAGGTACTTCTTCTTGATGAGATCACCGTAGATCTAGACGTGCTTGCAAGGGCCGACCTGCTGAAGTTCCTCAAGAGGGAGTGTGAAGAGAGAGGCGCTACCATTATATATGCAACACATATATTTGATGGCCTTGAAGATTGGCCTTCACATATTGTATGCTTATTATTTATCACATCTTGGTCTGCAAGTTTTGTGTGTGTGTATGTGTTTTGTGTACTTCGTGTATACTCCAGAATTCCTACTTCCGCTGATACCGATCAGTGAACTTCCAGTTATATGTTGCCCAAGGAGAACTGCAGTTAGCATCACCCATGGAGAAAGTTAAGGAAATGAGCAATCTTTCATTGATGGTTTGTGCTTTTCTAATTACCATTATTGACATTCTTGCCGTTGTTCCATAGATTTTTTTTTACAAATTCACTTATATGGGTCATGGTTTTCTTTGTGACAGAGAACAGTTGAGTGTTGGCTGAGGAGAGAGAGGGATGAAGAGAGAGAAAGAAGGAAGGGCAGGAAAGCAAAAGGCCTTCCTGAGTTTGAGAGGAGAATCGAGGGTACTCGAGTGACAGGAGACCCTGCAAGAAGTGCAGTTAGGGTTTTGAACAATGGATGGGCAGCAGGAAGATTGCACTCAACTGTGGCAGGTGAAGAGAATTTTGTTTTCAGTTCAAACAGTGTTCTGAGATAGTGATGCAATACGTGAAAGAAACTATTATGCACTAGGATCGATAATGGTTAGTATTAGAGTCATAGAGAACCAGTTGTTTGAATGGATTGAGATTACATATTGTAATCATTCTTGTAATGTACATGGAAATATAATATTAATGGGAGGCATCCATTCTTTCCTAATGCTCTTAGGCTTACTTTGGACATACCATTTATGAATGAATAACCATTTCTCTCCTCTGCCCATTCATGAATAGACTCTTTGGTCTGCTCCAGCTATTTATAAATGATACCCCATTCATCAGTATGTTTGTGGAACCTTCCAAACAGGACCTAGGAAGAGGCATTCAAAAGCTATTCGGTGAAGTATTACTGATGGAGAGGGATTGTTTCCAGTTGGGATGTTAAATTTCACAAACCTTGCAAGTTTAGCAAAAAGAATTGTTTAGCTTTGGCTGTTATTGGGACTGACTTAAAGGGTTCAGTCCCTTGACATCTTAGTTTAGCCTGATATCCTTCCATTACAACAAAAGTCCAAGGGAATGTTTCATGTTCATTAAAAACCCTAATTGAAATCGAAATTACATTAACAAAATTATGATCATTTTACTTCATAGGAAAAAAAAAAAAACCAAAGTGAATTCATATAGCAGTCAAAAAGAAGAAAATCATATTTGCCTTTGATTGTCACAGCAAAATCTAATATCAGGCATGGAGATTGGAAGCCATGAAATTCAGTGGATTTTTCTGTTTTCGTTTTTTTTCGGTGCAGTTGGCATACGGACACCT